CATTACATGTATAACTTTTCTTGTTGTTTTTGTAGCCCCTTGTTGTTTTTTGGATATTGTTTATATTTGATTTTCAGTTAAATTCTTCAAGTAGTGTTGCAAATTCTTTACGATGCTGATCAAGGATGACCACTGGACAGTTGGTTGGGACTCGTTCATAGGATGCAAGTTTGTGTCTCAGCCCGGAACTCCAGTAGCTAAGCTTAGATTTGCCAGTTGCATCCCTTAAGCCTCAGTTACACAATCGACGGGCAATACGTTGACGGAATAGCTATGTCAAATGTGCATTTTTTGTTTGAGCTAATTCATTCCGTTTGTACTACGACCGGGCACTGCAACTTTTCGCTGCCCAAATACGCTATCTGAAACAACTCGATCGTAACTGACACGTGAGGAATAAGCGAACTTCCATCGAACCAAAACCAAATCCACGTCATGAACAGTGCCTGAAGCCTGTGAAAATCGAATGCACTGACCCCAGGCACAACACACCTTATTTATGTGTGTTGATTTGCCTGAAAATAACCATTGTTATGAATCGATATTATGTCCACTGCAAACTGCTGTAATGGAACGATGCGAGGCGTCTACCTGTTGCCTCGCCTTATTATTTAGGTGCCATTGTTCCATGGACTGGGAACGTTTTTCCCTTAACACAAACCTTAAATTTGTTGTAAGTCGAAAAATAAATAGGAAGTAAAGAGCTATCAGTAAAATCTCAAACAGTTACCATACGTTTAAATTCTTTCATAACTAAACTGTTTAAAACCCTTGTTGAGTTTGCCGGAGTTTAATAACGAAGTTTCAGACCACACCAGCGATGCAGCTGCTTGAGAGTAATGTTATTCTCTAGTTTCGTTTGAGGAAGAAGTTGAACGGGTGGCAAAGAGAACAGTTGTTGCTCTCATCACGTCACACCTGCCTAGCTCAGTCAAAATTTCGAACGCAAATAAACACGGATATTGGAACCAACTCGAAAGAGAAGAGAAGCACGCAAAGCTACACCTAGACTTGGAAAATTAAAAAAATACGACGCGAACTATATGCATGGCATTAAAGCTTTTTCACCATCTCACCGCATTATTTACCACTACGTGTTTATTGACCAAACTACGTTTTGAAAAACACCAAAATATGTCGGTTAGGCCGCCAGAAGTTTTAACTCTAGATGCATTCCATTCCACTTCATTTCGTCATCATCATCATGATTGAGAGCTTTTGAAAACAAGCTGCTATTCGGTTATTCTTGAAAGGAGCTCTCCAAACTCTTGTTCTGTTTATTGTCTTCGATGGGTTCACAGATTTGTATCCAAATCTGTTTTTCAACAGACGAACGCGTCACGCTGCAGTTCTAAATCAGTCTAGTTTGGTTCTTCTCATTCACTACATTTCGTGCCTATCGTGTTTAAAGGGTTTCAGTTTGTTCTTTAAAATGTCAGTGGCTAATGTGCCCCAGCCTTTGAAATCTCCTTTTATACTGAGGAGTGTCACTCTGATAGCTGGTTCCTTGTGGGGGGTGTTTCCCCCAGAGAAAGTTTGTTACTGCTCAACCAAACACCTCTCGTTTATTTTCCCCGAATGACCGACAAATCGCTGCTAGTTTCCCGTGAGTTTACATTTACCTTCTAATGCCATTAACTCATTACTGAAAAAGTGTCGTTAACGATCGGGTTTGTTACAGACGCGGCGTAACACAAAGTGAATTACCCTTTGCAATCCATAGAAGATTCAGTAATCCTTTAGTTTGGAATATGTGAAAATAACCAAAATGTAGCTGTTTCTGCATTCGTACAACTTATCTATTTATAATATAAAGGATTTAAAATCACCTAATGAAGAAACAATTCGAAGTTTTTAAGTTTGTAGAAGCAGCACAGAACTAGACATTTACATCATTCAAGTGAAAGCAACATAAATGGACATCCCTTAACATTCTGCTGATGCACCCTTCGTTCCCAAACTCACATTCATTTACTCAATGACCCTTTCAGAACCGCCCCGTTTTGTAAACCTTCCTAACATACACACAAACAGGAACCTCACCAATAATCACAAGCAAATAATTGCTTTCTGCACTCTGATTTCCTATGCATATATTTCTAGTTTTACTACCCACCTAATCTAGTATAAATTGTGCTGTATTTATGTAGCACCAAAAAGAAGATTGTTAGTTGATATTGTTCTGTCATGTTCATTTAATTCGGAATATTTTTGCAAATTTCAATTTATTGCTGCTGCACTTGGCACAACTTTAATCTCAGTATCGGAACCAACCTTCGGGAAATTCCCAATGAAATCGGCTTCATGTTAGCAAAAAAGAATATTGTTATGCTAAATCGATTTTTTTTCTTGATAGTTTTGACTTTTGAACTGCAGCTAATCACCAATTACTGACCATTTTCCCCCCATATCGCGCTGTTTAATTAATAAAGTAAACTTCTCCCTCTAAGTGGCTACGTGTTAATTATATAAAAGTTCAACAGTTCCTCTACAATGAACAGTTTTTCCACAGTAGGCGATCAAATACATGGGATCTTGAGATAGTTTTGCGTATTACATGCTCAATGTCATGGATCAAAACTAAGAAAATAGGATAAAACCTGTTCCGTAAGTGAAACTAAAGGTTAACGTAAGTCTGTCAATTCATAACTGACTGCGCTATTACATTCCACCTTTTTTGCAATTTTTCCTTTCATAAATGCGGCAACCATGAAGAACAAACACCATGCATTTTTGGATTCCAATCAGTCACTGGTGTAGTGGTCCCGTTGCTTAGGCTTTATTTGTTGCTGAAACACACCGGAGACAATTTTTCCCCTTCTGGAATTCTGTTTCTATATGTTGCGGTAAACCCGTGATTAGTTTGGCGCCGTGTCTGCGAAGATTTTTATTATATATATATATATATATATATATTCGGTTATTCTCCTGGGATGTTTGATCCCTCTTCTACTCACTGAACTGCTTATTGTTTCATTGCCATACTTTCCTGTTTGGTGGACTTCACTCGGCCAGGCCCCATTATCTGAATATTGATGTGCAACTTCGTTATATAATAACTAAACGGAAGCAAACGAATGACTCAAAAGTCATCAGATAACGGATCGTTCTATCCCAGGTGTCGTTCTAACGTTTTTTGGTTTCTTTCCAACAGTATCCGGTTATATGAACTATTCGACATACCGACTATGGAATGAGACCGATACATTTCTATATGACAACTGATATGATAAGCAAGAAGACATGCGTGTATTAGAGCAATACGTATCACCAACGTCCCACGCTCATTGGTTGCTTTTTTGTTTTAGCTTCTTATTTTTGAATCCATCGCAGGAATTCTGATTTCAATATATCGGACGAATTCCAATTCTTTTTTTACCTAGTCATATTTTTCCAGCTTTTCATAATGCTTGTCATCAATCAGTTGAATACTTTCCGATTAAATAATGGACATTATCGGGGTGTAATTCTGCATCTAAGTGTCTTGCTAAGTTTTGACCATTCACTGCGTCGTGCAGAGTTAATTTCCAAACGAAAAATTTAATTTCATGCTTCCTGTCTCAGTTTTGACGAGCAAAATATCCGTTGCTCTTTTTGTGGGCCTGAATATCACTGGTGATGTCGTTCGAAGGTGCCATATATGGATGCTGTCTACCATGGTTC